GGCTACAAATGCGTTCAAAGACCTGCCTGAATACTATTCCAATAGGCAGACAGTGAGCAAGTTTTGTGAGGGTCTGGTAGACAAAGATGCCGCGGTAGCCGTAGCCATGGATAGACCTTCAACCATGGAGGAGGCAATGAATAAAGTCCACTGGTATCAGCACCTGCATCAGTCAGTTTATGGCCGTTCTAAGAAGAGGGCTAGTAAAGAAGTTGTTGACGATGGCGCTAATGTGTTTGCCCTAGAAGAAGCTCCTGAGGTTGCGCAAGCCAACGCTGCTCCATCTCAGTTGAGTTCTTTGGAAGTGGCAATTGAGAAGCTTCAGAGATGTTTTGACAACATGGTCCTGAAACTAGATGAGGAGAACACTTCTCAAGGAAGAAGCAGATGGCCTAGAAGAACTTGTTTCGGTTGTGGAAAAGAGGGTCATTTCAAGTCTGACTGCCCCTCACTGCAATAAAAAAAATCAAATAAAAAGGGGAGGAGGTAGTATGTGTTCTTCCGGTTAGCGCCAGAGTCGCAAACCAGCGTCATTTCATGCTAAGCATGGAGTGAGACCAGGTTTGTGAAGGAAACAGTCATGGACTAAGTTCCATGCTGGATGTATTCTCGATGTAGACAGCATGTAAAGAAACATTAGCAAGTGTGTTGCAGAATAGTTCAATTCGAGGCTCATTTGGTTATTGCTGGGAAAGAAGTAACACAGACAGTTTAAGCCAGGTCGAGGAGGGTTGTTCCATATCAACATAATCCTATGTGTTTGTCAGAAGCATGTCAAAGCTGCATTGTCACGAATACCGGTATCGGGGCATTGTACAAGTATGTTTCTGGGGTCGAACTGAGGAAACTGCCTTGTGGGGGATGTGATCATTGCGCAAGGGTTGACTTGGACCTCGTCATGAGGGACGTAGATGTGGCAATTCTCTTGGTATTGCAAGGTGTGTGAAGATGAAGTTTGACCGTGACAAGTCATAAGGTATCATCACAATAATGTCGATAACCAGGTATCACGAGGTGTGCGAAAGATGAAGTTTGACGAAAGTCATAAGGTATCATCGCAATAATGCTGATAATCTGGAAGAGATTTGCGGATCCATTGTATCGTCGGCAATTCCAAGGTCACAAGGGTCGCAAAGGTTCACAAGGAAGCAAATGTACAAATGTTGGGGTTGTACGCAGAGAATCAGGTCAATGGTGCTAAAGTTTAGTGTGTTTGAAGATGCTGTAAAATTGTGAGCAGATATTGAGAATACAGATCGATGCTCTTATGGTGGAAGGGGAAATAGGGCACAGTTTTGAGTAGTGGAACAACTTTCGCTAGAAACTGTAGAGTAACTTCCGCCAGCAGTGCTAGTTCTAAGAGCTAGTGCTGGGTATTTAGTATTGCCAAAGTCATTAAGTAGTTCTAGTAGGTCCTGGGGCTAAGTCCCACTGGCTGAATAAGGAACAGTGCTTATAAATAGACTAAGTTCTATTGAGGGACATGGGCTATACTAAAGGTAAGATTCCCAATAAGTAGAAAGGTTCTTCAGATGAGTCAGGATATACCATCAGGTGGTCTCAGGGGTGTTGCAGTGACCAGGGCCAGGTTTAAGAAGACATTCTTCTGGTATGGCAGGGGTCAGGATTACGCAAGTCATGTGACGACATGTGGAATTGCATTTGCAGCATGAAGACGGATGGTCATGGGCAGGTTGGCACAACAGGTCCTGTTCTGAAGATACAAGGGAAAACAGAGGTTACAGCCAAAGCAAGCTGTGGTGCCTTTGATGCTGTTGGGCGATCTTATTGAGAAATTTACAGAAGCCTGGGATATTAACAAATACAAATGTGCAATGCTAAGTTTGTTGCTTTCATGTTCTGTGTTAATGTGGCTGCTGTGGTGTAAAAAGTAGCTCCATAAATCTGTAGTCAACACTCAGGTTTGGTGTGGAGGTGTAAGCTGCAATCGGCTTAGGAACTGGACGCTGTTTTCCCTTGTATCTTCAGAGACTTTGGCGCAAACATCGGCAACCCAAGGACTATGAAATTTATAAGTCCGCACTTCACAAATATCACTATGAACTTAGAAATGTGAAACAATTAACACTTAGTCAGAAGGTAATTGAATCAAAAGGTAACTCTAAAAAGCTTTATCAGTTTGTGAAAGATCTTACCGGAAGCAAGTCAGAAAACCCAATGCCACCCGTGGAAGATGAAAACACCCTTGCGGATAAATTCGCAGACCATTTTATGGACAAGATCAAGAAGATACGCGAGTCTCTGAAAGATTTTGAAAACTATAAACCTTTGGTCAAAGACGTACCACCGTTTGGATCTTTTGAAAGTCTTTCAGAGGATGAGATTAAAATGCTCATAAGTCAGTTACAAACTAAATCTTGTGAGCTCGACATTCTGCCCACCAAAGTATTGAAATCATTTCTCAATGAACTTTTGCCTACGATTACCCAGCTTGTGAATCTTTCTCTGACGCAAGGTGTTTTTCCAGCTAAATGGAAAAAGGCAATAGTCAGGCCTCTGTTGAAAAAATCTGGTCTTGAACTCACATTTGCCAACTATCGACCCGTCAGCAACTTGTCATTCTTGTCCAAATTGATTGAAAAAGCCGCCCTTCATCGACTAAACAAACATGTAAACGGAAACGATCTCCTTCCAACGAATCAGTCGGCCTATCGTCAGTTTCACTCCTGTGAGTCAGCCCTTCTTAGACTTGTAAACGACATTCTTGATGCAATGGAGCATCAAGAGGTCACTGCACTGATAGCTCTAGATCTAAGTGCTGCTTTTGATACTGTTGACCATAACATACTGTTAAATGTTCTTGAAAGTCAATATGGCGTCTTTGGATCTGCGCTGGAATGGATAGATTCATATTTGAGGCCGCGTAGTTGTCGAGTGAGTGTTAACTCGAATGTGTCATCAGAACGGGAACTTGACTGTAGTGTCCCCCAGGGAAGCTGTTTGGGCCCTTGGCTCTACTTGACGTACGCAGGAACTATCTTTGACATTGTACCTCCCTCCATTTCCGTGCACGGATTTGCGGACGACCACGTTGCGAATAAATGTTTTAAACCATCACCTACCGCAGAAGCAAGCGCAATTCGGGACCTCCAGGACTGTGCAGGGCATATAAATGAGTGGATGAACAGCAACAAGTTAAAAATGAACAATTCAAAGACAGAGTTTATTCTTTTCGGAAGTCGTCCACAGCTGAATAAGTGTAACACCAAAGAAATCAATATATGTGGTAATGTTATTGAATCACAACATTGTATACGGTATCTTGGTGCTTTTTTGGATGAGTCTCTAAATTTCAAAGATCACATTAAAAGAAAGTGTAGAACTGCTATGTTAAACTATTTCAAGATCAAGAGCATTCGAAAGTATCTGACAAAGGAAGCCGCTGAAACACTTGTTTTATCTTTAGTAATATCCCATTTAGATTATTGCAACATCATTCTATACGGCATATCTCAAAATGAATTAGCCAAACTTCAACGTATTCAAAATATGTGTGCCAAACTGGTGTTAGGTCGTTCCAAGTATGATAGTTCTAAACAGGCATTATTCGATCTGCACTGGCTTCCGATTAAAGCACGAATCAGTTTCAAGATACTGACATACATGTATAACTGTTCGGTAGGAAACGCACCATCATATTTAATAGAGCTTTTGTCTCATCAAGTGTCAAAACGAACCTTAAGATCATCTGAATCCTCAGTTGGTTGTTATGTTGTTCCTTTTAATAAGAAGAGGACTTTTTCTGACAGAGCTTTTAGCACGATAGGACCAAAATTGTGGAATGAACTACCTATTAATATGAGAAAATGTGAATCTGTTGAAATTTTCAAAAGACAACTGAAATCATTTTACTTCAAGCACTTTTTTGCACTTTTTTAAGTGACGCTGAAGGCATTGTCCGTTCCTAATTGTTTTGTGCATGTTTGTATATTTCTAGTGTTTTTATTATTTTCAATGTATAATAATATAATAAAGTCTAGCCCATGTGTTATCATGTGCAGGGGTGCAGGGGTGTAGATTGTTACATGTTGGTGGGGATTGACCCAATCACTGTGACCGTCGCACTGCTGGGAGTATTGTGTATGGTAGCACTGGGAGTAGCACATATAAGATATATAGCTGTACCATTGAATATGTATTCTATATGTAGAAATAGGCGTTAAATCAAGTTTTCAAGTTTCAAGTTTCAAGACGCTGGCCGCTGTTAAAACAGTGCCCAGGAAGGTAAGATATCTAAGATATCAGTTATCCAGTTAAGCTATCTGTCAATAACTTGTCAGATAGGCATTTGGCAGATTACTGTTGCACAGGCTAAGCCTGCCCACTTATAATCTGTGTTTACAGGCCAACGCCTGTAAAGGCGGTATTGTGGGTACTGGTTTGAAACCCAGGAGTGGACTTGAATCTCGGGTTTCCGCACTTCCGGTGAGAGGACTTCATCTTTAAAGTCGGGGGGAGTGTGGTGAGGTATGGTAGTGTAACCGTAATCCGGAACATACCGTTCCCGGAAGGTACGAGATTTAGTCCGGGCAAGACGAGAACGATTCCTAGCCGCCATCTTGTAAGAAGGTAATTAGAACGGCAAGATAAATCCGAAGAATCTGAGAGATATAAATGGTCATCCGTACAGGGAAAGTGTTTCAAGGTAAGCAGAACACTTTGATAAGGTAAACTTTAAGTTTCACCGTTGTGCTAAGCATAATACCACAGTACTTATTACAAACTAAAATGATGATAAATTAATAACAGGGACAACATTTTGTATGCATGAAACATGCATGCTTTGTACTCCACGGAAATATTCAATAATTCTGGTTTCCCAATAAAATGGCCTGTAAAGGGGTTTAAGTGAGTTATATCTTTTTTGAGCTAAGACTGTAAGTCCAAGGCTTACAGGTGTAATCCACAAACCTATATCAAATTAACAATATGTATGTAAAGATACAGAACAAAATAACATTAAGTGTATCTAATTTGTTCTTTGTTAGTTTACCTGACAGTTCACGTTCCTACTTTAGATTATTGCCGAATAGCTTTGTTTGTCAATTATAATTGGTACTTAGATATTCCGGATTTATTTCATTCGGTTCATGTGAAGGATTGATAACATCAAAGAACATTATTTGTTTCGTTGAATTTGAATTGTACATGTTTGAAAACCTTTAAATGAAATTTATGTAAGCTGCACCACATTTGTAATACTATCCCTCGGGATTCCTCTTCAATTGTAGGAAAAAGACGACATTGATAAAAAAGATAAAGTTGCAAAAGCAGAAAAGGAAAACATTGCGACCACTTCTAACGAATCTGACCAGGGACATGACAAGAAACAGAAGAAAAAGAAGATGAAGCTCCCAGGGTGTTTTGGTTTCATTTCTACATGGATTGCCAAAAGGAAAGAGAAACGTCGGGAAAAGAAAAGAAAGGCTATAGCTAGCCGCACCCCCACACCAACGCTAGGTAAGAATTACACTAAGTACACAGACACACCTCGCTCGCATTTTGTGACAGTTAGAAAATATATGAATTATGTTTCCTGCTTGTAAGCTTATTTTCGCCATACTTTTATTTAAAGAGAAGAAACTGCGTACTTTAACAAGATAATTCATTGACAATACTATTTCTATTTTAGTTCAATATGAGCATAGAAAAGCACGTGGCGGGGAGTCTTTTACCATTGAAGTAGATTGCAAACCAATAGTCATGAAGCCGATATTACCGCCAATTAAGAAAGCTGACGGGCCTGTAAGTATAAATGTTATATTTTGAATACAACATACTTTCTATTCTTCCGCCTGGAAATATTTCTGATGTATATTTGAAAAAAAATATTTTTGAATACAACATACTTTCTACTCTTCCGCCTGGAAATATTTCTGTTGTATATTTGAAAATTATATATATGTATTAATAAGATACATTTATGTAACTGCACTATTCGCTATTTAGTCAGCATATAAAAATGCTAAAATTTCCATAATAAAATGTTGTTTTGTCCAGACTGAGATTCATATATCATACGTAATTAGAATAGTAAGTGTAAAAGCCATTTGAAATTTGCCCTTCGACATCAACTAAAAGATTATATATTAAATCTGCAACGTTAAAAGTTATATTTAATCCAATGTATGTATCCGGCAAACATTGCTACAACTAAACCCCATTAACGCTATATAAGTAACGAAATATTCCGAGTATTGACGAATGATAAATGAAGTTGTGTGTTGCCTAAAAATATCTATACATTCACAATACACAAAACGGCACCATATGGAACGCAAGTAGTAGCCAATAGTCTAAGATTCGAAACTTTGGACTTTTATATTTTGTTTTTATATTATTACTATAGATATGTACAACTTAGACAATGTTGAGAAGTTTCAAAAGTTTAATAGTTGTTACATCTTCACAGATACGCCTAGCATGTGAGGCTCGACAAGAAAAGGCCGAGGCCAAAAGAAATGATGAACTTTCCAAAAAGAAGGTACTGGCAAGAGAGCACCAGAGGAAAAAGTAAGCTCACTTAATTTGTCTAACAACCGTTTGATTACATAAAGCACGTTTTTTAAAGGAATGTGTGTTTTCGTATACCTGATGTTCAGACAAGAATTATTGTATTTCGCATTCCTAATCATTATACATTTTTGATATGATCAATATCATTTAAAAATGATTGTTATTTACATAAAACATCCAATATGTATAGCATTAAATCACACCAGTCAATATATCCTATGTCATTAACATAACACCTGACACTTTAACATTTACATCACACCAGATACTATATCATTTACATCACACCAGATACTATATCATTTACATCACACCAGATACTATATCATTTACATCACACCAGATACAATATCATTTACATCACACAAGATACAATATTATTTACCTCACACCAGATACTATATCATTTACCTTACAACAACTACTGTATCATTTACAGCATACCAGATACTTTATCATTTACATCAGACCAGATACTTTATCATTTACCTTACACCAAATACTATATCATTTACAGCATACCAGAAACTTAATCATTTACATCACACCAGATACTATATCATTTACATCACACCAGATACAATATCATTGATATCACACAAGATACAATATTATTTACCTTACACCAACTACTTAATCATTTACAGTATACCAGGTATTATATCATTTACATCACACCAGATACTATATCATTTACATCACACCAGATACTATATCATTTACATCACACCAGATACTATATCATTTACATCACACCAGATACTATATCATTTACATCACACCATATACTATATCATTTACATCACACCAGATCCTATATCATTAACATCACACCAGATACTTTATAATTTATGTCACACCAGATACTATATCATTTACATCACACCAGATAATATATCAATTACATCACACCAGATACTATATCATTAACATCACACCAGATACTATATCATTTATGTCACACCATTTACTATATCATTTACATCACACCAGATACTATATCATTTACATCACACCAGATACTATATCATTTACATCACACCAGATACTATATCATTTACATCACACCAGATACTATATCATTTACATCACACCAGATACTATATCATTTACATCACACCAGATACTATATCATTTACATCACACCAGATACTATATCATTTACATCACACCAGATACTATATCATTTACATCACATCAGATACTTTATTAATTACATCACACCAGATACTATATAATTTACATCACGCCAGATACTATATCATTTACCTTACATCAAAAATTATATCATTTACATCACATCAGATATATTACATTCACATCACACCAGATACGAAAGTATTTATATCACACCAGATACTTTGTTATTTACATAACTACATTTACTAGAGCAATTACATAACACCAGATATATTTCATTTACATCACATCAAATACTATTTCATTTACATCACACCAGATACTATATCATTTACACGTCAACAAATATATAACATTCACATCACACCAGATTCTAAATTATTTACATCACAACATAAACTACATCTTTTTACATCACAACAGATACCATATCATTTACATCTCAGTAGATATAATATCATTAAATCAAGCAGATACTATATCATTTACATCACACCAGATACTATATCATTTACATCACACCAGATACTATATCACTTACATCACACCAGATACTTTATCATTTACATCACACTAGATACTTTATCATTTACATCACACTAGATACTATTTCCTTTATATCACAACAGATATTATATCATTTACATCCAACTAGATATTATATCACTTACATCACACCAGATACTATATCATTCACATCACACCAGATATTATATCATTAACATTTGTATAATCTACATTACTTAACGATATTGATAAACATTCAATTGACACAATGTTCTTTGATATACTTTAGAACTGAATGCAAGCAACGAAAGGACGAGTCCGAACACCGGTTTCAGGAAAGAGTTCGACTCACTATCAGATATAGACAAGCAGACGCCGAAAGGAATAGGAGCCGCATGTCGTCCCAAAGAGCCAGCATTAGCCGAATGTCAACCAGAGCAAGAAGCTCACTGGCTGTTTCCTCCTCCTCAGAGTCTGTCGACGAGGGCAATAAGAAAGCCCTCAAGGTCGGCAGCTCTCATTAAATTTTAGGCCGGTCGACACACCCTATAAATAGTAGGCCACATACATTATGCTATTGTCACGTGATAGGACGTTTTCTTGACATAAACTACAAAAAAGCAGCTTAATCCCTTTTCTCTTACTCATTTTTAATTTTATAATGTAATTTTTTTTTTCATTTTATTATCAGATGATCATATTTTCTCGCCGTTTTCGCCTTTACTTTTGTGATCCTTCTATACTAATTTCAAATCATATTGTGTTTAACATATGTCCATGACAATTTATTCAGACAAGCATTTATTTTCAGTTTGTCTTTATTTTCTTTATTTTTAAACTCCTGCTTTTGGAAAACAAGCTAATATCATTTCGCTCTTAGTCTTGTTAAATTTTCAATTGACCAAATTCTGTGAAATTTCAACACACTGGTTATTTTTAGCACTATTTTCAGAAGCAATACAATGTCGATATATTAAATTATCTAAATGATTAACTTTACAAAGTTTACATTTACCTTCCTTAGTTAAAAATAACATCTTTGTTACCAACCTGGGGTTAGTATCTCGAAGCTATCGTTAGCATAACGACTATCGTAAGCCTCTGGTTAAGGTTTTCACTACTATCTCGAATCTCTCGTTATTAACGAATAATCGTTAATATGCCCAATTATTAACGGATGCCAAGAGGGTGTCGTAAAGCTCTCGTTACTATCACTTTGACACAAAAGTGAGTATGCTGCTACTTTAAATACACAGAAAACAACTTGTATAAAACACAGATAATTAAAGAAGACAATTAAACTAGCAAAGGTAAGCTTTTGCCTTTTGTATCGTGACTGCAATTCCTATCCGTGAGGTAAAATGTTTTTTAATCATAGGGTAACGACATTATGAATTCAAACATTTCTTACTCAACTTGTTTTATGTTATGCACTTATCGTTTTCACAATTTCAGATGGCTCTTGTGTTTTTGGGAGGTGACGGCAACAGAAGACGTCGCAATATTCCCCGGATATTTAGAGATCGCATGAATCCCCTCGACGTGATGACCGATCATGAGCTTTTAAAGAAATATCGGTTGGACAGAATTACCATTCTTGAAATATGTGCACAAACCCAGCAACAACTTCTTAGACTAACAAGACGAAGTCAGTCTCTTCCGGTGTCGCTGCAGGTACTTGTCGCTCTGCGTTACTATGCAACCGGTAGCTTTCAGTCAATCCTCGCGGATGGTCATGGAGTGTCTATTCACTCTGTTTCAAGAAGTATTCACGCGGTTTCTGAAGCAATTATTAGACAAGTTCCCCAACAAATTAAGTTTCCGACTTCACGTACTGAAATAACAAATACCAAGCAACGATTCTATGAAATAGGCGGTTTTCCAAATGTAATTGGTGCCGTCGACGGTACGTACATGTATACCTATAAAGTCACCAACTGATGATGAACATTTGTTTGTGACAAGAAAGGGATACCATGCAATAAATGTCCAAGCTGTATGTAATGGCGACAATTTATTCACAAATATAGTTGTTCGTTGGCCAGGGTCGACTCACGATGCATTTATATGGAATAACTGTGAATGCGTCCGCAAGATCGAAGAAATGAATTTACAAAATACATGGATTTTGGGTGATAGTGCGTATCCGTTAAAACCATACTTACTTACGCCATTACCAACTGCAAATACAGAGGCTGAAAGGAGATTTAATGTTGCTCACAAACGTACACGTTGTGTAATCGAACGTACATTTGGCATTTGGAAAATGAGGTTCAGGTGTCTCCACAAGTCAGGTGGATACATGACTTACACCCCGATAAAATGTGCTAAGATTATTACTGCAGTTGCAGTCCTTCACAACATGTGTATTACGAGAAATTTGCCTCTGATTGATGACAATGTAAACCATGAAGATGACGACAATGACAGTGACGTCAATGGTGACGACAACAATGAAAATAATAGAGAAAACAACAACAACGATGATGGTAGACAGGTTCGCGATAACCTTATTCGGGAGATGTTTTCACACGCTAGCTAAATCTTCGACCGTTCTTAGAAGTGTTTAAAAAGTCGCCAACTACAAAGTCGACGTTGTGTTGATCGTAAGTTCAAACAATGTATTTTATGTTTGTTAAACAAGTTGATAGATTAATGTGAGACAAGCATTGTTCATTAATGATTGCAAATTTAACTGTTTAGAATGATAAAATATGTTTTTCTGTAATGGAATGTAAAATAAAATAAACACATTGTTTTCAGTTTTCATTCTTCTTTTCTAGAGCATTAAGGAAGTCTCAGCTGAGTTCTAAAATAATATAACAGAGAGAAATGTTCATTCATGATTATAAAAGTAGTATTGTTTAACATGAATAAAAAGAAATAAAAACGGATTTATAACGATGCACTGTACTTTCAGGACTATAAATTTAACAAATTATACATGTACTCGTAGTCTTTGAAAAGAGCAAAAGATTGAACAATTATAACAATGCACTTCCGACAATAAACACTTTCTAGTGTTAAATCTTTGCAGGTTACCAAGTCATGGGGTATTTAAACTGTTGATTATATTCTATACTGAGCCAGATTGTATTGAAGCATTCTCCTTGGAATAATGTCAATCATGTTGATATGAAATCGCAATGTTCCACAATATGTGTTAACAATTTCCGCCCAACGTTCGATTTCTGTAGTGTTCATCTCCACATGTACTTCTGTTATATTTGGAAGTCTTTTCTTAATGTACAAAAAGTCACTTGGTTTAAGAGATTCACATCCAAAGAATTGTAAAGATTTAACATTCCTGAGAAAATAGGCCAGAAATGTTTGGATTTCGACATTGAAATATAGGTTCCGACATATTAAAATGACGACGGACGGCAGCGAAGCTTTTATACAATGTGCTAATAATTCTAAATTATGGTGTTTCTCTGCATATAGTTCAAGGTACTCTAAATGCAGCATCTGGGAAAAAACGCTAAATTTTTCCAACAAGTCACAGCTCAGAGTAAGATGTCTCAGATTAGACATTTTTATGAGTGCAGAGTCATAGCTAGGCACAGTTCTGAAAGTCATTTTTGCACAGCGGAAATGCCACCAAATCCGTCCAGACATAACCACACGCTTCCAAGCCTTGCACACTCTGGATACAGTTAATAGAATTTCGTCAACAGGCAAAAAGCGGAAAACCAATTCAAGCAATATGTCGTTCTGAAAATATACAAAATATACATATACAGTCATGTACATATATTTTATTTCATACTTAGTAGTGAAATACTAAGTTTATCCGTAAAAAAAAACAGAGAATATTGAAATAGTGTATGTCCGATACTTTATTGAACGATTAGCACTATACTTTGCCAGCCCCTAATGAGAATTATATCAACTTATTGATAAGAAGTGATGAACCTACATAAATATGATATTGTATTTCTTTTTCTCACATATCAAACACATGTTAAGGTTCTTAAAAGTTTACCTAAAGAATTATATTTGTATGCAGATGAAAAACAATCATATCATCACTTAAACAACGAAATGAATTAACTCCGTAATGTGTCATTTTGCCCAAAAAATATAAATAAATATCTGCATACATCATGTTGAAAATGTAACAAAATTCCGATTTATATTACAGAATTATAAAGAAACCACACTGTGACGTAATGATTTAATGACATCATGAAGAAAAGTGCATTATATTGTTACGCCGCTAAAATTAGTATAACAAAAAGGCATCAATGATATATAATTTAGTTTGTGTAACTTTTCGAATTGAAATATATTTCACTCGCGAACACCAGCTGTTAAATTTTAACTTGTTATAATTTTGATTTAAGACAAATGAAAATTCATCCATAAATTAACAGCCGTGTATATTATCAGTTATAAAGACATCTAACGGATTATATGACCCTATATAAACGGTTGTCTGTAAATATCACCCGAGCCGCAATATATAACCATATATTTCCAAACAACGTTTAAATAGTGCCATAATTATAAATGTTCAAAAACCTTTATAATTAATAATATAATGTCATGGTTATCCAATGAAATTCGACGTAACAAACGTGCGGTATCATAAAAATTCAACATACATTTCATGAAGTCATTGTTTTGCTCATAACGTCATTGTTATGCACATGGCGTCATTTCAGCTATGTAGCTAGCGGGGTTTCGAAAATAGTTGTGTACATATGTGCGTCTTGATGGTAAACTTTTAAAAAAGTTATTATTTCGATTTTCGAGAAATATGGAATATTTTTTCATGAAACGTGATAACATTATAATTCTTTTCACTCGCCGTTCCGGCTCATTAAAATATGTGGAAGTTTATCATGTTTTATCACGTTTCGTGAAAATATATTGAATATTTCACGAAATAGGATTTATATTAATATTTCTTTAAAACTAAACACATCGTCGCTGTCGTCATCATATGATTACCATCATCATAGCATCATCATAGTCATAATCATAGTCACTGGTATATCATGATCGTTTTCATAAACATCACGTTTTTATCTTATACATAAAATAAAATCTAAATTGTTTATGATGAGACCATTTGCTTATCCCAGCATATATTCATTTTTTACTTTGTATACTAAGCAAACTTATGGACTACCTTTATAATCTTAATTTATTGTCCTCATATGTGTTTAAATGAACAGACTATTTAAAATAGAAACTATGACGACTAAGTGCTCGCTATAAATATTCATTTAGATATTTGCAATTTGTGAACAACATTTTCAAGTTTAAATCTTGACAGTATACTTACACCCTTAAACAACATGTGGCTATAGCCTGAAGAATGAGGTAGAGTTATCTTGCCCCGGGTTTTGTGCCGGGTATTGAGATGCTGCTCGGCTAGAATATTGGCCTTGACAAAGTAGAGTGTTCAAAATGTCTGTCTCCACTTGCAGGCGTTGCTGCTCAATTTTCAGTCTTTGTTGTTCTATTTCCAGCCGTTTTTCATCAGTATCTAGTCGTGCATTGTCTATCTTAAGTTTTTCTCTCTCAATTGAAATTACGTCAGTTTCATAGCTTTCAGCAGCAGATGCAGTTGCAACGACTTTTCTCTTTTTAAAAGGAATCGTTTTCGTAGGTTTATTAGCACAACTGATATTAGCAACGCAATCAGGATTCTCATCGCATGACAGGTCTATACTGCTAGACGACAGACCGGATACTGCAAGTGTCGTTTGAGTATGTTCCGGTTTAGCATGATCGTAACTTTCCGGTTTAGCATAATCGTAACTTGATGACTATAATTTACCCTCGTCGGCACAAAAGTCTGCTTCTTCAGAAACAAGAGCTGTATCTATCCCTCCCTTAAATCCACCTACGGCAGTCTCGCCAATTATAGAAACTACTAGTTCCTCTAATTCAGTCAGTGGTTTAGTATCAGGCTGTCCGCTGCCAGTCTTGTTTAAAGATTGCCTCCGCTTTGCCGCCTTTCCTTTAGTAACACTCGACCAGTCGTTCCATTTTTTTCTAATATCATCTACCGTTCGGACGGTCTGTGAAACAGCATTTATACGTCTCGTTATTTCTGCCCATGCCTTTTGCTTTTTTTCCATTGACAAGACATCACTGAATTTACCAAAGAGAATATGTTTATGTGTATTTACCTCTTGTGCTAGTATTTGCAATTCGTCTATTGAATATCTCGGCTTACGTTTTGATTCGGCCATTTTGTCCATGTATTAACACACGATATCCGCGGTAATGAAATGATTACACAGCGCAGTCGTTAATAACTAGCGAGTAAGCAACGAACGATTGCTGAACTAGCGCTTTCGAGATACCCGCGCTAATCTCTCGTTAACCAACCTTCCGTCAATCGTTAGCACGTTCGTTAACGCAAATATAACGATAGCTTCGAGATACTAACCCCTGACCGTGATCTGCATTGAACAAAAAAAAAATACATAAAACCACGAAAACAAGTATCAAATCTACACTTTGACCTTGATTTATCAACGTCAAGTTGATGATACTTACCAAAAAAATCTCATCTCATTTTATCATCCAACCATTCATGTTTTCATGAAAAAAATGAAACAAACAAGGCATTGGTCTTTACTTATCGTTTAAACCTTTAAAATACATTTCTTATCATACCATATGTGTACATTTCAGTCACTAATTTGTTATATTTTCAAAGTTTCATTAATTTTTCTTTTTAAAATCTGGTTAGTCAGCATCTAGATCATTGAGTATATTTTTGGACATTCTCATCTTATCAACAAGGAAATATTTCTGGCTTACACTATATATTTTATATCTTAACTGTTTTTATACATTAAAGTTTAAATTTACACTTGATAATTCATCATAATAAAAAATATGTTAACAACCGGACCATGATGAATATCATCTGCCTTGAACAAAAAAATACATAAAACCACGAAAACAAGTATCAAATCTACATTTTGACCTTGATTTATCAACGTCAAGTATGATGATACTTACCAAACAAATCTCATCTCATTTGATCATCCAATCATTCCTGTATTCATCTAAAAACTTTAAGAAACAAGGCATTGGTCATTTACTTACAGTTTAAGAAAACTCTAAATCTTTAAAGCTACATTTCTTATAATACCCTACGTCAGGATACGTGTACATAACAATCACTGGTTTGTTATATTTTCTAAGTTTTATTTATTTTTCTTTTTAAAATCTGGTTAATTTGAAAGCGAACACATCATTGAGTATATTTTTGGACATTCTCATCTTAGCAACACGGAACTTTTTCTTGATTTACACTGTACATACTATCTTAACTGTTTTTTTATACAAACAGTTTTACACATTTTTGATAATTCATCATAATTACGTTACAGAAATAACTTTTTTTTGTTTGTATTAACAGTTTAAAACCAATATGGCTATAAATATCATTGATATCCAAGTTCAATTTATAAATTATTTAAATGACTATTCATGTGACATGGCTCCGATATTTCAAGGCATAAAGACCCTTTGGCCTGCTGTTATAGGGATGTTGTCGGCTTTTGGCATTTTGGCATTTTGTTTCAAAACTTACAAAATCTATCTTCCCCTCATTATTGCACCATTGATAAGACTTAAAATATGTATATATATTTACAGTTTATTTTACAAGTTTTACTAATACATGCATATATAAATAAAAACAATTTTGGATTACAAAGCATACTGAAATCGTTTTTGTTGTTGTTGTTTTTACTACCATTTTAACTTCTCGGGAGAACAAAGCATCGTAACAAGACTTAATCGAGATATCATAGATCATAGAGGCTGTGTCAAAATGGTAAACGTATGTCAGGATGAAATTCTTAATGTGACGATATTATTGGATCAACCAATTTACTGTTGTAAAGGCATATTAAAAAAGTATTTACTTCTTTACAAAGGGCAAATATGAATATTATAATATTTAAATAATGGTTTTAGAGCATGTAAGCTGCTTGTAACCGACAACATCGAGATAAATCTGAAATAATTTGTCATAAACCAAGCGAATTGTAAACAAAGAAGTATTCTGACTTCCATACAAGAACTACTAAATCACTATTACTGTGCTCATCGCCAAAAAGCAGCAGGTGAAAAAGTTGGTTTAGATAATGGAGGAAGGGGTAGCTTTTTTAAAATATGAAAGTATACAAAGTATTTTTGTGGCATAATGGGCCCTTAAAACCAATGACGCTTATAAGATACAACAATAGTAAGGCAGTTTTAAAAAGTTGCATATTATTCCGAGAAAGCCCAAAATTTGTTGTGGTCCGATCTGCGCTACCCCTTCACGCACCCAACCCCCCTCCCCCCCCCAAAAAAAAAGAAAAACATATACGGGCCACGGAAACACAGCCTCTGCTTTAGCAACTCCCTATACATTCAAAATACCACATAGGATCAGGTACATATACTTCGTCTTGAAGATTTTTTGATATGTTTTTTTAAACAGTTGAACTTTCTGTTGAAAATGTGTCAGAGTTAAATCGTGTACATATACATGTATATATGCAGTGTGTTAACCGGAATGCAGGTTTTAGTTACCCGCACTCCTGAGCATGCCAATTGATTGGCTCATTTTTGCCTGGGTTTACTAATAGTGACGACAGAGAAAGAGAAAGCGACAAAAATATCATATTCAGATGCTCGTTCATTGGATACTTTTTTCAGGGGTTACATATTGTGACAATAGAGAACGTGTTTTTATGTTTGACTATTATACAAAAGAGAAAGAAATCAAAACAGTCGGCAATATGATTAATAATCGGTCGTACAGATCGGATAGCCTCTTGTTTCGATGCTCATTCTATTACTTGTACCTCCTGTATACTTGTTGTAGTGGCTTATTATTGTTTGGTCGTCGAGGTGTATTCTAACTTTTCATAAATCTGTTTCTATAAGATAGTGATAATGTCTTGGTCATACAGTTCTCATAATTACAATTATATTATTTCCTATTGTTCAAATGTCAAAGAATTTTCTTAAAGTACCAATCCCCACTCTCTTGTACAGAGAAAGCCAGCTTTATTTAGTAAACGGTGTGATGATTGGAAAATGTTAACTGCATGCGTAATTCTGACGTGGCGGTTCCTTTGGTTTCCTAAGTTGATGCATATATCATGACGTAAACATGACTTATATAAACACGTGAAAGGCGTGGACGCATACCACAACTTCATATTTGTAGATAGATTTCATAAGTCCTGCACACCTCATACTGACATATATTTAATTATTGTTATAGTAAAGTGATCGAGTTAGTTACGGGGGTATAACGACATCGAGTGATGTTTCTGCCAAAATGAAAATATCGAGGCCGTTAGGCCGAGAATTTTATTTGCAAAAACATCCCGAGATGTCGCCTCAACCCCTGTTTTACACCCACAACTTACGTGTTTCATATATTATAAATGTTTTATAGCAATTTCATTTATTTTATTATTTTTTTTGTTTTAACAGAAATCAGTAAAACAATTTATGTGCTTTCCCTCTCGTGTGTTGCAAATGGAAACCCACAAAAAATGAAACAGTACCAGTTAAATTAAATGTTGTCTAAGAGACCTCACAGCTAGCTGTATATAATGTTAGTAAGCGCAGCCGTTTAAAGTTGTTTCGCTGTTGAAAAAAGGAAAGAAAAAAAGAGGAAAAGCTCAAAGCCATGCGATAATTTATAATTTACGAAATCTCTGAATATCAATGATCAAATTGCTTGGGAGCATGAACCTATCGCCATATTAGGAAAAGTGGTACTATGCAAACGAGTTAGATCAGTCTGCCTTGGAAAAGTGACCTTACTAACTTAAGTGAGTCCATACAAACATACGTTACAACTTTGTTCAGAGACCACAAAAAAAAAAAAAAAAAATACAGAATTACATGTACTAAAATCAAGATTTAAAAAAGAATAATCTGAGTACATTTAAACAGAATAATAGCAATTTTTTATGTAAACAAGCATGTGTGTGTATGGATGAATATATTAGTACTTTTCTTTCGCTGCGAAAGGGGTACGCATCAGGTATATAGCATTATAGCTGTCTTTCTGTTTCAACTGTTTGCATGCACTAACATTAGTTTGTTAATAAGCTATGTTCAAAATCGTTTACATACGGGTCGGTCAAGCGATGTCTGACTTAGACAAAAAGTGCATTTTCGCTTTAACACTCCATCTTTTGTCTTACCAACTGGCCTAATATTGCACTTTTTTTTTCAAAATAAATTATTCCTGCGTAGATTGCACTTTATTTGGTGACAATTGGTTGGCAATTAAGAAAGATCTGGGAGGAAAAATAAGGCCTGGCTGTAGTTCCGCTGGCGACCCTTTCTACCTTTACTAAATTAAAGTATTTATGGATGAAATTTAAAAAAAAAATACTTTTCTTTGTTTTTTAACTCACCTGTCACAAAGTGACAGGGTGAGCTTTTTTAATCGCTTTTCGTCCGGCGTCCGTCGTCCGTCCGTCGTCCGTAAACTTTTACTTTAAATGACATCTCCTCATAAACCACTAAGCCAATTTCATCCAAACTTCACAGGAATGTTCCTTTGGTGGTAACCTTTGAAAATTGTTCAAAGAATTTAATTCCATGCAGAACTCTGGTTGCCATGGCAACCAAAAGAAAAAACTTAAAATATCTTCTTTTAAAGAACCCAAAGAGCTAGAGCTAAGATATTTAGCATGAAACATCTACTAATGGGTGTCTACCAAGTTTGTTCAAATAAAAGCCCTTGGGTCAAAATTGGCCCCGCCCAAGGGGTCATTGATTTTCCCTATATGCAAATAGTAAAAACTTAAAAAATCTTCTTTTAAAGAACCCAAAGAGCTAGAGCTTAGCTATTTAGCATGAAACATCTTCTAATGGTTGTCTACCATTTTTTTCTCAAATAGAAGCCCTTGGGTCAAAATTGGCCCCGCCCCTGGGGGTAATTGATTTTCCCGTTATACATATAGTAAAAACTTTAAAAAAATCTTCTTTTAAAGAACCAAAAGAGCTAGAGCTAAGATATTTAGAATGAAACATCTTCTAATGGATGTCTACCAAGTTTGTTTAAATAAAAGCCCTAGGGTCAAAGTTGGCCCCACCCCAGGGGGTCATTGATTTTCCATATATACATATAGTGAAAACTTAAAAAATCTTCTTTTAAAGAACCGAAAGAGCTAGAGCTAAGATATTTTGCATGAAACATCGTCTAATGTGTGTCTACCAAGTTTGTTAAAAGCCCTCGGGTCAAAATTTGCCCGACCTTGGGGGTCATTGATTTTCCAAATTACCTAATGTGTGTATGGGAAAAAAATATAAAAAATCTTCTTTGGAAAAAACAAATAGCAAAAGTTTTAATGTTAAGCATGAAACATATTC